GCAGTTCTAGACCACGGCTTGTCAACAGCCCCACAGACAACTGTGAAGTAGTTACCATGGCCTCACTGTACCTTCCCCCCACTTTAGAGTACAGTGAGGACCGCATTTCCCCACTCTCTAGTTAGTCTTTAAAACCGTGAGGGGAATAAAACAAAACCACGAACGCCCTCCAGCCTTCTCACCATGGATCTTGCCATCGCAGCTGACCCTTCTTCGCCTTGCCGTCGCCCGGCCTCTTGAAGGTCGCTTGTTTAGCCTCCTTGGGTGTTTTATGTAGCTTGAGCTCTTCGTCCAACTTACCAGCCTTCTCGAGCAGCCGACCCATCACCATAAATTCAAGCGACTCGAACTCTACCGGGATCCGGTTGGACTCAGCAAAGTCGTCGAACCTCTCGTTTGTCAGGTCATCAGCTTCTTGATTCTGCCAGCGTGGGACCCATTGCAGGTCTAACTCAATGCCTCGCCTGTCGAGCTGAGATGCTAGCTCCATGGCCACAATGCTGAGAGGGTACTTGCTGCTGCCGAACTTCTTGAGCACATGCGTATTGCCCAGGTTGTCCGTCAACGCGGTCAGGGTGACCACGGCGTCGCCAGATCCCCACTCCGCCTGTGGGGCGAAGACCATAACCGCAGCCAAGACACCGATCAGCTCCAAGGTCGCAATGGAACGAAAGGGGTCCCCTTTCAAATATGCCCAAGCGGCATTCTTTCTATTGAGCCTGAACGAGAACCAGCGTGCACTCTTCTGCTCTGCAGCGCCCCACGTTTCCCAGCCTCCAATGACTATCTCCTCGCCTGCCGCCTTTGCATCCACCCGGAAGATATCGCGAGGCGAAGCCAGCAGGGGCTCAAGTCCTCGGGTAGGTTTACGCGAGACCCCTTCTCTCACGTACTCGAGCAAAATCACCACCGCATCCGGGAACTTTGCATAGGTGCCTCCCGCCAGCGTGGCCGACCACGCGAAGAGAGGCGCGAGGAAAGGCCTCACATGGCGCAGTGCTCCCGCGACAAAGGAAAGGCGCCCAAGCACCGACTTCAGCTCCCGGCCAACCACGCTTCCCTGAGCCAACTTGTCGTCGACCCACTTCATGATCCAGGCTCTTTTGCGACTCATTGATGCCTCTCTCAAAGGTGGAGAGACATTGAGATAATATCCAATCCAGTTCACCTCTGTTCCGCCACGAACTTTGGACCAGGTGATAGGAATCTCCATGAGCCCATAGATGAAGAGCCAAAACAACACCTTCTTCCAAAACCGCGGCCCAGTGGCCGTCAGCCAGCCGTCATCGGCGTAGATCAGGTGCAAGAGACCCATGTACCGGCCCATGACCCGGTGTGAGCGCCTGACAGCGACACCGATGGCTCTCCCGAACCAATAGGCAGCACTTGCAACGCCAAAGGTCCCGCGAGTGTGCACGTAGACGTCGCCGGTCGTCTCTCCAGGAAGACGAAAGGCCTGCAGCCCCCAGTCCTCTTCGCGAACCGGGATCAGTTTGTGAGCACGTGCAATGTCATACAAGACGGAGAACCGAATGACTTCCCCATTCTGCTCCTTCTCCTCTCGCACCTGCCGAAGAATGGCTGCAGCATCGTCGATGAGAGGAAAGCGCACGCGGTCGAGCACTCGGATGCGTCTATTGACATCAACACTGTAGGCGCCGTCATGTATCAAGCGAACCCGGCTGGTCCCCAATTCCTTGGGCAGCGCGCCCAGGCACCGCGCCCAGCGCTGCCACCGCCAGACGCCCACCGAATCTCTTCTTGGCCTCCTCCTCGCTGAGCTTCAAAATCGTACCCTTTTGAACCTCCTCTGACACTTGGCGTGCTATGTCCCCGGCATTCTCTTCTGCCGATACATAGTTCTCGGCCAGCACATCATGGAACTCCTCGTCTGTCTGCTCCACCGTCCACTTCTCCTTCTCATCATACACCGCAGGGGTCCGCGGCGTCTGCTCGTCAACGCCCAGCGGCACTCCTTCTGCCGCCAGAGGGCCCAAGAATTCGAAGTCCTCATCTCCAAGCGCCGCTGCCACACTCTTCAGCCTGCGAAAGTTGACCTCGGTGGGCCTGTCGCCAGTCTGCCTGGCCGGTTCCAAGCCCTCCTCGCTGAGCCAAAGATCCAGCCGCTCTCGGAAGCCATAGATCTCCCCACCGAACGGCGAGCCGCCCAGCTTGCCTGCCGCTAGCAGCCAGAAAAGCTTCTTCGTCCTCTCTTCTCCTTCCAGCTCCACCCAATCCTCGAAAGCCTTCAAGAACCATCTCGAGAGCTCTCTACCTCTTTGGGACGACGGAGCTCCTCTTGCCTACCGGCCATCGGCCTGGCGAGCACAAGCCGGCCCCATCATGAACAGCTCTGAGCTCTCCCTTGTATTTGGCCTGGCCCCAGACCAGGCCTGCTCCTTGCGGCCCCAACCAATGTTGCATTGCTCAACACCTTACCCTGCACTGCTTGACCCCGAATCTGTAGCCTTGAACCTTTTGTTCACAGATTTCCATAGGTTCTGGATAGATGGATGTAGCTGAGGTCCGAAACGAAGTGTCACCGGCCGTACGAGCCAGTGTAACTGTAGGCTGGCATTGGCAGATGTCTTTGGCTGGACCATCATAGGCGCCCTGGCTTGTAAAAGAGGGCCACCCGGAAGGCCCCCAGGCTTTCAGAGGCTGCAGGTTGGTGAGCAACCTGGTGGGCTTTCTGCAGGGCGCCGACCAGCAACACTGATTGAATGCCACTGTGAACAGCCGAAAAGCATTGCCCGGCCGTGCAAAGGCCTGCAGCTCGGGCAGCTGCCAAATGGAAGCGGGTTGCATGGCCACGCCGTCCTCCTCTCGAAACATGATGCCCAAATCCTCAGGGTGTTCCCCGAAGACCAACACCTCATACCCGTCGTGCGAGTAAGGGCAGCCCTCCAGTGTGCGCAGCACCTCCAGCATGAAACGAATCAGAGTATTTCCCAGATCGGCATCCCGTTGATGACGCTTGGACAACCAGGGAAAACCCCAAGGATGCAACTTGGATCGAATCATAGGTGGCCCTCGGCAATTGGCTCCTCTGACCCGACTCCACGTGGAACAGGGCGATGTGATCAGCACCACATGGTAGTAGCCCTCTCCGAGCTGTTTGAGCAGTCTCTGCTGCAATCCCTTGTCTGTAAGGTCCCACTCCGGGGAGTTCTGTATATCAATGTTGCGCAACTCGAATTCGATGCCAGTGCCTGTTGCTCGTTCTTGTAGAAAGGTGCCCACCGAAGCCTTCCGCTGTGCACCACTGAACAAATACAGCACCCTGCAAATGCGTGTGCCTCTCGTTGTGCTGCCCTCCTCTGGAGGGGGTGAGGCGGCCCCCTCCTTGGTGGTGCTTCAAGCACTCTTGCCAGCATCGGCCGGAGCCCCGGCCGTATCTTTGCTCTGCCCTGAGCCGTCGCACGCATGCGCCGGGTGGCTCCCGAAGCATAGTTGACAAACATGTAGCCGGCCGCACTGAAACCTGCACCTCTCTCTCGGGTTGTTCCACTTCCAGCAGATTTGACGACCGTCTGGTGTGCGATCGTGCATCTGGCGGCCCTTCTTGCTCTTGCCTTTGCCACCTTTCTTGCCTTTCCCCTTTCCTTTGGGCTGCTCGTAGTAGTTTGCACCCCATGTGCCTCTCTGCCATGGCGGACTGCCGGGAGCGCTGGTAATCTCCACCTCGTGCACTGCTTGCCGTAGAGGTCACCTGTGAGTACACATTCGGTGTGAGGAAGTGACGCTCCTTGATTGTTGTGTCTGTCATGGCCTCCTTGAGCCCTTCCGCCATGGTTGCACCTTCGTTCACGAGCTTCACCATTTGCCGGCGCACTTGGTAGTCGTAGGACAGCATCAAGTCAAAGTCTGGCGTGGCGATGACCTCTCCGTCCTTGTTGCGTGCCTTCAATCCCAGGACATGTTCACCCAACATCAAATCCAGATAGCGAAGGAAATGCTGGGGCTGTAGGTCGCGCAAACTTGCCTTCTGTGGGTATTTCAACTGCGCCAGCAAGTAGGCGTTGGCGACCACTGACATCCTCTTGCGGAACTCCTCTGGATTGCGCGGCTTCTGGCACTCTCCATACCCCTTCTTTATCTTCAGGGCGCCCGTGCTTTTCTCCACCGTGGCTCCTAGGATGTCCGCCTCCGCATCGTCCCGGCTGAGAAATTGCACCAGGCTCATATTCTTCAGCTCTCCTTGTTCTACTTGATCAAATATTTGCTCAAGTGTCGTGGCTGCTGGTGTAGTGCGGTCTTCAAGCTTCACACCATGGACCTTCTGAAACCGGACCAGCAGCTCCTGGATCTCAACCTTGTTCAAGGCCCTTGGCAAGTTCGCAACCCCTGCCTCTGCCTCGGCCTTGTTCCTCACCGAGACTCTTGTCGTTGCAGACTCCCATGTGTCCACCAGCGACGCGATCTCGACGATGTCCCGGGTGTCGTCCAGGGTCAAGACCTCTGTGCAGAACTTCCTCATCCCGGCACGGTCGTCCGCCACCGTACTCATGCGACTAATGCTGCGGACCTTGGCTACAGACAGCTTTGCCTGTAGTACTTCGTCCACCTCCTTCACTTGCAGTAGACCGTGCAAGTCTGCGTCTAAGAGCGCTATGGCATTCTTCCTGCGCTCGTCTGTGTCGTGCCCGATGTTCGCCATGCGTCGAGCACTTTCACTCGCGCCGGCCTCCCTCTCCCGCCGACACGATTCCGCGGCCCCCACTCGCTCGGGCCAAAACTCTTCGTCATCTCACCTGTCAGGGCCATGACCAACGTGTAAGGCTCATCGACGACTGACATCACTGCACAATCATGCAAAGCTCAAAACAAGCAAACGTGCAAACAGTTACACAACACGCGAATCGACGAGAGAACCACGATCGGCGCGTCCCGTGCCTTCCTCTCTACTTAGCGGTAGCTACTAGCCATTCGGCCGATACGGCACTCCCGACGCGACGCCCCCTTGCGAGCACGTCCTCCCTGCCGCACCCTTCCCCCTCCATCTTTTTTGAGTCTCCTCATTCATCCTCACTCCGCGAGATGATTCTCCCATCGGCGTGACTCACCCCGCGCTGTCCTCCTCCTCGGTTTCCGTCATCTCCGAGGAGGACACTTCTCGAGGATTCATCCTCGAGAACACTTGATGCCTCCGCCACCCCTTTGCGGAAACACTGTTTGCATGCCCGATGGTATGCCGATGCCGATGCCCCTGGAACTTCGTCCCCGAGCACCTCAAACTCACTGTAATGCACACCTGGCTGTCTATGGCATTCGCCAACCCTGTGCAAGGTTCTGGTCTTTGACCGGCCTACTATAGACACCACGAACGTGCCCACGATCTTCTCGACGGGCACCACCGTTGACTTCTCGTTCTCCTCTTCGGATGGCGGCTGCGCCCCCACGGCCGCCTCATCAGGCTCTGCCTTGACTTCCTCCACATCCTCGTCCTCCTGTACGAGAATGACTGGCCCCGTGGTCGTCCATTTGGGTCGGCGGCATGGCTTCGCCTGACCCTCTCCAGGCATGAACGTCATCAGACGCGTGAGCTGCTCCTCAATCTCGTCTTGCCCATAGCTCATGCCCTTCATCCTCTGTTCGACCAACTGGATCACCATCGTCTCGTCAAAAGGATCCGAATTCGACAGGTTCTCCCGGACGAAGACAGCCAGCACCTTCTGGTAGCGGAGCACGTTGATCCTCACATTTCTCTCGTAGCCCTCGTCCGCCGAAGGTCTCCACCTGCCGATCATCCTTCGGACGTCTTCTGGCACGCGGGCGGCCTGCGACCAGGTGCGAATGGTGACTCGCTCGCTATGTTCTGACCATAGCACGCCGATGCCCGGCGCCATCATCGGGACCTTCTTGCCGCCTTGCTTCAGCTTCAATTCGTTGCACAAGGCATTGGACATAGTCGCCGCGATTGCATAGTCCACCACCTTCCTCACGAACCCAGAGCAGTCGCGATTGGGCCACGGCAACATAAAATCGCGCGTCAACAGGCCCGCCTCGGAGCCCAGGGCAGTCCAAAGTCGCCACCCCACAATGAGCCATTCACGCTCAACCAACCAGGCCTCTTTGCTGACGTAGATGGGGAGGAGGATGATGCGTTTCCCTGGCCCCGAGGTCTTGGACCGATTGATGATGCCCTTCAGGCCGAACTCCGTCATCTCCAATGTCCTGTTGGGTGTTCCTTTTGTGTCATCAAACCGCATCCCAGTCCAGAGTTTCACCAGCCGAAACCAGGCATAGATCCTGGAGTAGTTCGTCTCCTGCTCATCGCAGACATGGGTCTCCCATGCCATGATCAATGCCACCGGCAGCAACAAAGCGTTCTTCGTCGGCCTCAGCTCCACACTCTGCAAGCGCAGCGCTGCTTCCTCCAAGGCGTTCTTCACCGCCGGGGACCTGCACAGCTGGTCTGACTCGGGCACTTCACCTGCGTACTCCAAGAACATCAGCGACTTGTATGCTGACTCTGGGAAGGATCTGGCGCAGGGCTCTTCTACCATCGCCTCGATGAACTCTGCGAAGCAGTCCCCATTGTGTGGCCACTTGCAATGAAACACTGCTTCCATCCAGCGGGACACTTTGCCCCACGTTTTGACATGCTTCCTCAACGTGTTTGCTCTTCTGCCTTTGGCCACCCGAAGCACCAGCGCATCTCCACTGGAGCGCTTGGCTATCGGGAGACCCGCGTCCTTGATGATGTCCTGGATCTCCTTCACCCACCTGTCTCGCTCTTGCTTCTCGGCGAGCTCACGCATGGCCAAGTCGCTCGAAGCGATATGCAGCTTGAGGCTAAGCCGAGTCGGCCATCTGTTGCGTTTCGCAGTGCCCACCAGTTGCACCTTGCTGCTCACATCCTGCGAGGTCAGCTCCTCGAAGGGTCGTCTTCTCATCTCACGTTGATGAGCCAGGTGAGCATCGAGGAGCTCTTGCGCTCCCCTCTTTGCGTCCACCATGTGCCTTGTCTTGGCACGACTTGCCGCCCTCTTCACCAGGTCTGCCATGACCTCGCGGCTCACAGCGAAGGACTCCTCCTTCTCTTGCACACGCCACACGATGGCGTCCAGGACGTCCCTCGCAGCCTTGCACCGTGGCCATCCGGGTCACATTCCAACCCGCTCGACTGAGGACGCCAGTCTCCCAGCCGCTCAGACCTGCAAGGCTGCATATGAGGGACCAGTCGTCCTCCATATCCATTGCGGCGAAGCTGGGCCCCCCACTGCACTAAACAGGGGCTTGTGCCGCAATCTGCCGGTCGCTTCGTGACATGCCGTGTACTACGTACAACATGCCATATATTTGTATTTATCATACACGGTATGCAATATATATATATATATATTTTTTAATAGTACTTAAACAAATATATAATACTGTATATACTTTGTGTCTGCCCACATACTCAATACCTGTCAGCGTATTTCAGAGCATTGAGAATTTCAAGCTGTTCTACGGTGACATGCGAAGGTCAGATCGCCAGCTACTACTGTGTCTGTTAAGCCTTGTCAACTTAAAGTTCAGATTAGTAACTTGGTAGCCTGCCCTGATTCTAGTGATTCTATCATCTTCAAGAAAGCGTCAGCCTGCTGCAGCGTCGGCCAGGCGCTGTTCCTGGGAGCTCCCAGAAAATGCATGTTCAAAGCATCGCAAAGGTATGATTCAGCAAACTAAACAGGCAAAAGGTGGCAGGTCGAGCTTCCTAGCCTTCAAGGAAGAATCGAATGTGATTCGAAACCTTGCTGGGATGACAAGCCTGCTAAACTCTGCAACACACGTGTCCCGTGCGTGTAAGGCATAAGTCAGCAAGCCCACAGAAAATTGCTGGAAGATTGGGCCGATGGGTCGTGCGCTTGCGGGAACTGGATGCAATCAGACGTTCCACGCCCTGAGTCTCCTCAGCCGTCTCGCGCGGAAGCTCCAGTAGAGCCCCTTTCAGCGCACGCAGCGCTTCAGTACCTTAAAGTCATTTTCTCTCAAAAACCCAGAAGCATGCTGGGCAACTGGAGCAGAATAACATCTTACAGCAAATTATCACACCATAGCAAGTCTAAGCATTCAACTTGGGATTTAAGGGGGCGATCAAGTGGGTTGTCAGTTGTCACAGTGCAATGGCTTGGTCCGAAGACATGAATTCTTTCCTGTGGCCCAAACAAAAAACTTGAACATGCACAGAGGGCCACTGATCAAAGGTTCAAGGAACTGGTCAAACTGCAAAACTACAGTTGGACTTGACTTGAACTTGTGATCGGATGTATTGTGTTTGTGTGTCAAGCATTAGATAGTACAACAGAACGATTCAAATGTTTAGACCGGACAGAGTGTGCCCCGGGCGGGTGGAACAGTTCCAGTTCCACTTCCAGTTCCAACTCTGGGTCCGAGTCTGGACGTGATTGCCAACGTCAGTTTAGCGTGGATGAATGTTTTTTATCCGGGGGGGGAGTTCCAGTTCCAACTCTGGGTCGGAGTCTGGACGTGATTGCCAACGTCAGTTTAGCGTGGATGATTATTTTTTATCCGGGGGGGGGGAGTTCCAGTTCCAGTTCCACTTCCAGTTCCAGTGGGGTACACTATGAGAAGGAAGCGGGGTCACTTCAGAACACAAGTTTTAGTTCACTTTGGAACACAGGGTTTTAGTTCGCTTTGGAACACAAAACATGGGTCACTTTGGAACACAAAACACACCAAAACATGGAAGGGTTAGCAAAAAGCGAGATCACTTTGGAACACAACGCACCTGATTTTTTGGTTCACTTTAGAACACACACACAGACACAGATGGGGAGGGTTTACGGATGAAGGATGGGGTGGGGTGGGGGGGATGGGGTGGGGTGGGGGGGATGGGGTGGGGTGGGTTGCAGTTAGCAACCAGACAGTGCGACTCTGAAGTGCTGAAAGGGTTGCCAGATTGGACAAGGTCAACATCTTCAGTGGGGGGTGGGTATGTGGGGTGGGTTGCAGTTAGCAACCAGACAGTGCAGACTAGTCGTAGCGATGGCCTCCAACCTACTAGCTCTGACACGCGTTCCGAAGCGATACCGTTCCCGCGTTCCGAAGCGAACTATTTTCTGCGTTCCGAAGCGACTCCCCGGAAAAGAGTACTTCGAACTATAGTTGCTCCAGGGTAGGAAGTCACCAACCCGTTGGGATCAGTGGCTCATGACCGGTCATGCACATTCTCGATCGAATGGCTGTTATATATTCAAACTTTTTCGTAGCACACGGCACCATGCTAGAATGGCTATGTTGTGGATGGTTTTGCTATCTTGGTGTACTGTTTGCCTGTAGGAATGGCAAACTGCACGGATCTGCCAAGATACGGCCTTGACGCTTTCCCTGCTCCTCCTCTAGCTGTGCCTGTTCAGAGCGTCGTGTGTGCACCGCACACCGGAATGTGCATTGCGGCATCTCCATGATAACTTCAAAGAAAGACTCTGTTGAGGGCTCCAGCACATCCATAGTGCCCCAGGTTAAGCAACCAAAGATCAACTCGGCAGCAGAAGGCAGGAACTACGGAATGGCCACGTATTTCCATGTTGGGGGATGGTTGCTGTCAGAAACACAGGACACCTCAAACCTGCCCACGCGCAGGTCGCAGCTCCACAGCTCCTTTGGAGCAATACAGCGGACCACTCATCCCAAAACTCGCCTGCAACTCTCTGGCCACCTCTTCAAGGCCTGGAAAAATTCAGCAGGTCCACGAAAATGTCCACTGCTCTCACTGACTCAAAAAGGTGCCTGGGCCATCTGGCAAGCCTGAAACAAAGCTTGGCTGATTTAGATGCAAACGACACGAACATTACATCTATAGTTGCACAAAGAAGCTTGCCGGGAACGGTCGACCGTCTATGGGCTAGAAGCAACCCTGAGCCTGCAGTGTCTTGTGTGTTTATGTCTTCTTTGGGATGCGACAGCCAGCAGGGCCGACGACTGGCCGCTCGCCACGCTGTTGACTGGAAGGTTCCTCCAGTGTTTCTACCTTTATAGTCCAAGTTGTTTGGAAGGGATGTAGATTAACTGTGGATTTCAATTCGCTGTGAAGGGAAGAAACAAGTTTCAGTAAGGTGATTGATTGAGGAAGAAAAATGATGAAACGGTGCCACTAGACTTGCAATTCCTTGTGTACCGCGTGTATTGGCTTTAAACTTTCGCCAAGTGGAAAAAATATCTGTGCAAACTTTGTCGTGCTTGGCGGTGACCGCAATCTGTGGTGACTAGCAGTAATGTGTGGTGGTCTGGGATCCACCTTCCGTGGCAAGTGTTGACTTATAGTTGTGACCATTTGTGGTGCTGGCTTGCTGTACTCCGCGGCGATCTGTGGTGATGTGTACAGTAGGGATGTGCGGTTTGATTGAGGTCAAAAGTGGCCCTGAGGTCGGCTCTAGCCATGAATGTCGCCACCTCATCAGCTGTGCGACCTCAAATATGTCTGGCGTCAGTCAGAAGGCATCAGCAAAGCAATGGTTGACTAGGTCTTGGGCCAGTCACCAGAACTCCGGGCCCAGAAACAGGACCTGGCGGAAACTTCAAGTAAGCTTCAGTTGGGTACGACCTCCGTTGAGAATTCTGGATGACTGCCCATTGATTGAGTATGTATATATATATCACAAACCTTGTCTTACAGGATGGCAGCATCCGGGGATCACTTGGAACACCACTGCCCCGCCTGAGGAACTCTCTGATGGGCTTTGAGGTGCTTGCCTGGAAACATCCGTCGAATGGTGAAGCATGCATGGTCTGGGGATTTTTAGGGATCCCCACTAGAAATTCCTACCCCTCCCTTGGTGCACTCTGCAAGGCGAAGCACACTACAGAGACTCAGGTCGCCACGGGGACGGATCAAAGAGTGTCTCTGAACCTCAAAGGACACAAACCCCTAGTAGCGTCCTTGCTACTAGGAGCAAAGGGCATCGCTACTAGGAACAAGGACGCTACTAGGGGCTCCTGGCCTTACAACTAGGAGCAAAGGACGCTACTAGTAGCGTCCTTGCTCCCAGTAGCGAAGCCGGGAGCCCCTAGGAGCGTCCATGCTCCTAGTAGCGATGCCGGGAGCCTCTAGTAGCGTCCTTGTCACGACAAAAAGAGATATCCCACATTCAAGTTAAACATCAGGCCAATCAGCAGGACCCTGAGGAGAATGGCTTACCTTGTTGACACTGCCTGACACTTTCATAGGAACAAAGTCGCAAGCGCCTCTCTCCTCTGGAGCTCTACCGTGGCTTTGAGCCTCTCAAAGGAACTCTTTCGACGTCGATTCCCGGAATGCTGAGACTCGAGAACAAACCAAACTGTGGTACTGCCAGGTCCTGTAGTGAAGATTCTATGTTGTTTCTCTTCTTGTTATAGGATCAGCTGACAAGATAAGCCAGGAGTCCAAGAGCTAAAGAGGGATCGCAAGAGATGGACATGGCAATGTGCGGGGCATGTTCAATGGCAAAATTACAAGATTCTCTTGTTGGATCATTGTACATCCGATTCCACCGCAACTGCTTCTTCAACTGCTGCCCCCCAAAAGTCAAACAAATAGACATCGCTAAAGCGTGCAAGCGCCTCAGACAAGGAAAGACGGCCAGGAACATCCCCCGATACGGGACCTGCCAAATGCATCCAAAAGCCTTGCTACACCTACAATTCAGGGTTTGTACTTCCCGTGTTCGTCCCCCTCTCCCTGCCTACCACATATGCAGATGCGGGATCAGAAATGTCCATCGGTGGAAACGGCTCCAAGGAGTTGTCCACCTCAAATCGCTTTAGAACACTGTCCACATCAAGTTTGGCAAGCTTTCAGTTCGGGTCACTAGCGGCTGGCTGTGACCAATTGAACATATAATGGAATTCAGAGAGGGATCAAATCATATGGGCCGCCAGGCTTTCAGAATGACTCGAAGGAACTTGCCATCGCCTGAAACTCATAAGCCTACAACAGCTAGACTAAGACTGGTACCAACTGTCCAATGGCTTCTGAAATGACCTGGAATATTTATGCAGAGGCCAACTATTGAGACTTAGTCCAAGAACCTTGTCCAACTGAACTGTCGGTCTCTCTCTCTCTCTCCCTCTCTCTCTCTCTCTCTCCTCCTCTCTCTCTCTCTCTCTCTCTCCATCAGGTGGAGGCCATCGCTATTAGGTTGGAGGCCATTGTTTCTAGATTGGAGTCCGTCGCTATTAGGCGCCCTCTCTCTCTCCCTCCCTCCCTCCCTCCCTCTCTCTCTCTCTCTCTCTCTCTCTCTCGCTTTCTCTCCCCAAAATATGTTCAAGTCCATCCCACCTCACCAGCTGCCACAGGAGCGCGAGCCTGCAATGAGTGTCGACAGTCAGCAACGGCCGAACGGCATAAATGGCACATGGGAGTGTTGAGCCAAGAGCACCATGCTGCCCAGGAAGTCTCCCTCAAAATGTCGTCGCTCGAAACCATCGCCTGAGGAAATGGCGTGAAATAGATTCCGTGTCAATCAAGTGAGTTGAACTATCTTCAACCCCCAAAGGCTTTGACATGACCTTTTCAAGTAGCTGCAGCAAGGACTTTTCTCGCTGTGCCATGGCAGCAAATTCCCGACCGAGAATGCCGTCTGGACCGCCATAGAGCCTGGCGTTCGAGAGACCAGACTCGATTTGAATCCTGTATGAACAACCTGTTGACTGTACATCTATATAGCATAATAAAGGTCTGCAGGCATGCGTATTTCTGTGGCTGCGAGTGGTGATAGTTTTGCAACAAAATCGTGATTCACTTAATAAAGCATCACAACGATCGCGTGTAGATGCTGAATCTCTTCATTAGCAGGGTGCCGAGCATCTAGACGCGATGAGAAAGTCTGAAATTTGATGTCAAGTGACAATAGAAGACAGCGATCAATCTTCTCTTGCAACCAGTTTGGAGCTGTTCTTGAGTGCTCCCGCAAGATGGATGTCATATCAAAAAGGCCTTCCATTGAGCAAAGCCAAACATACCAGTATATCGAAGCATGCAAAACAGCAAAAGCAAGAGTCTTTACCCCCAAGCAGCCTTGTTCATTGCCTTCAAAGCCCCAATTCTCCAGAATGGGTCGTTGGACCTCTCCACAGATTTCATGACTTGAGACAATTCGCGCGCAAAATGTGTGGAATGTTTCGACATTTCGTGCTACCTCTGTACACACAGGAACGGTCTGCGAGTTAGTTCAAATCAAGACTGAATGGTTCGGAGTGCCTCAAAGGCAATGTCTTGCAAACGGCAAATAAACCTTTCTCGATCCTCTCCACACTCTTCGCTGCACAGCTTCAGAAGCTCTTGGAACCAAGGCTGAGAATAACCTCTTGCCAGCTCATCCACAAAGTCTCCAGTTAATGTGAGTGTCAAATCCTTGATCGCACTCGGGAAGATAAACTAAGCGGATTCATTTGTCTCCCGTTTTTCCATTGCTGACAAACACAAGAAAAACAAAGATCTTAGGCTATAGCAAACGTTCTCTCCAACGGCACGCCGGCTGTAGCATCTTTCGGCTCTGTACCATCAACTGCCCAACTGGGCCGCATTTTGGCGGCATTCTCGTCCATCAAGTTGGTATCCTGAAGTCATCAAGAATAGTAGTACTCCTAGTAGCGATACCAGGAGCCCCTAGTAGCGTCCTTGCTCCTAGTAGTATGGCCAGGAGCCCCTAATAGCTTCTTGTTACTGGATGCAGGGAGATAATGTTGCAAACTGGAGGAGGGACTTTTAAGCCGTGGCTGGGCTGGCATGAATGAAAGACTAGGGGTATTGGGACAGCCGCATTATCCACAAGCTTCAAAGAAAGCACGGACCTGGCGCTTCTCAATCTAGGAACCCCCCTAGTCGAATCCCTTGGCTTACAGGATTTACATCTCTGCAGTTCCTAGACATGTGTACCGTAGCAGGCGAACGGCTCAGGTGCCTCAGCCTCTAGCGGCCACCTTGCGACCGGGTCATGATGATGGCTTAAAACTTTGGTTTTGTGAAGCTGTCCGGCACGCTGTTTGGACAATTCAGGCGGTTGAGTGCGTCGGCTACAAGTTTCTCCCATCCATGAGATATTGGAAGGTCGCAATTTCCTTGGTACCATGGCAAGCTCAGCATGGCACCCCCTTATCCCACACAGCCTACCACAGCCATGTAGTCGCTGTATTGTTTGCGCCAACACAACACGGTATGTGCACGGACTGCTCTCTGTCACGCGCGGGACGAATTCAATTGTTGAATAGCTTTCTCACCGTGCGCAGGCCCATTCCTTCGGTAACTCTTGACCCTGCAGCGACAAGTCCACCTATTCAGCAGCACGTGGACTTCCGCAGAACCCAAATGTTTCTGCCAGACCAGCAAGCTTTCCAGCCCAACTGCGCCACGGTGGGTGGGCCTTTAGTTTTTGATGTTAAGTCGTCCCACCAAAGTGTCAAAGCCGTTGGCGCACAAGTTTCCGCAACTGCCAATTTGGCTGCATTTTACACTGAGGCTGAGGCTGGACGGATCGAGGATGTCAAGCAACTCCGGTACTTGCTGTACTGGCTTTATCAAAGATTGACAAGGCGGTAACTGAAACGCGCTAGCAGTTGCCTGCTGTAGCTGGGTCGCCCAAGTGAGCGTTCGTAGGAAAACTTTGAGCTCTTTGCGGTGTAGGCACGTTGCACGCAAAAGCCGTCAGACGCGGAGATGCTACTGGGAGCAAGGACGCTACTAGGGGCTCCTGGCCTTACTACTAGGAGCAAAAAGCTATTAGGAACAAGAAGCCATTAGGGGCTCCTAGCATCGCTACTAGGAGCAAGGACGCTACTAGGGGCTCCTGGCATCGCTACTAG